TTATAATCTGAATAAGATTGAAATGAGATTAAAAAAAATAACTTTTTGTTTCTATGGAAAGATGTTACAAGAGTTGGAGACAAGCCATAATGAGTTCTGCATCATAAATAAAGTTTTAATCGAATAATGCAGCAGAGTAGGCATGATGAAACTTAGAATGACAGTTCAGAGCGTTAAATGTTGAGATGATACCTGTTCTAACTTCTAAGTGCCTTGGTCAAGGACACACCTGCTAAACTGAGTCCAATATAAACATTTATATGTGAACTACAGCTTTCACCAATAGTAATATAACAATAATGGAAATGCCATAAATTTCTCTTGTGATTTTGGGGAGGAATGCTAACTCTTGCTCCCATAGCCTTTTGCTTTCATAAACATTGTAACCAAAGCAAATTGTCACCTTGCTTGATGTATATCAGGAAGTGCTTTGCAATACACTACCGCATTATTCTATCTCAATTATTTTCTTTTCTGGTACTTATGTATTGCTGTGCTTTTCTTCAGGTAAGATATTTGAGATTGGTTCAACTGGAATCAGTAGCTTAGGAGGTCACAGTGAAAAAAGAACTCACTGCATCGACAGATTTGTTGCCGAGTTTGGACGAATGCCATTGGTACCAACGTCTGTGAAGGCTGTTGACAGTCGCAACATCTGGTTTTGGTGATTCCAGAGCTTACATTTCCGTCAATCAAATTGCTTCAGTCCTGTTAGAGTTATTCTGGTACTTCTTTGTTCCTGAGTTGTATAATATTGGATTCTAGGAAATGTATGCCATTTTGTGACAGCAGCTAATTTAGCACGCCCATATATAGATTGATTTTCTTGGTTACTTACCTTTGTAACACGAGGAAGGCAGTTGCCATATGAGTAATGAGATAGGTCTTTTCCAAATCTAGTATCAGGTAGTTGTAGAAACATACGGTGTTTTTGTGTTTTTGGCATCTTGGTTAAATGACACTCAAGGAATTTACCACATCCCAGAAATTAATTATACCTCCGGTCCGGATGATTCTATTTTGAATCACCCCATATGATTTAGCCTTTTAACTTTTCTTTTCATATGGAGATGATCATGCATGTTGGGAGGTAACAGATAATTAATGGTAATATTTTTGAATTTCAATTTGGACTGGACACTGTAAAGTAAAGCAATCTTTTGGAATTGAAGTGATTTCCTTGAAAAACAAGACAAACAGAAACTTGGTCAAAACTCAATGTCAAACTCATTTCTTATTGCGATCAAACTGGAGTACAAAACTAGGTATATGCTAACTCTGCAGTCAATCTGGTCTAGAATGAGAATGACAGATTTTTATTTACAATCCTGGTCAAATTCTTTCCTATAGATACTTAATTTAATTGGGGCAGTAACACGTCCCTGGCATTGCCGGATGGTAGCCCATACTTATTTATCAAATTACAAAACTTGGTTGTAGTTATCATAGGATGTATCGAGGGGGAAGCAGGTGTCTTCGCCGCCAGTGCTCCAGAGGAAGTTGGCATACTTGGAGGCATAGTAGGGGTTGCAGGGTTCAGTTGCCATTGCTTGCTGGTATCTCTCTTCGGCACCCCAGAGGTCTTTCCTTACTATCCACAAGAAGTCTGCATATCGACTCACAGCCTCGGCATCTGGTTTCTCCCCTTGCACGGCGCGCCTGAAGCACTGCTCAGCCCTGCAAACCCAAAAAACACAGATCACACACTGGACCACATAATTAAGTCCTCTCATCAGACACTTGCCATAGCCTTCATATCGAAAAACAGAACCAAATCTAAGTCATCTATCAATTCCTCCATGGTCCAACCTTACAACACAAGGACATGTATTATTCCTAAACATATATGGCTGGCTAGTCTTACTCATCTTCACCAAAATGATGGGCTAGGTTTATTTCCTTGGTAAAAGTTAGATTCAGACAAGCAAACAAGGCAACAAACAAATATGAATTAGTGTAAACAGTAAGCATATTGGAGAAGATAATATGATACTCACCTATCATGATCATGCATCACGACATAGAGGAACTGTGCATAGTTGGAGAGTAGGAGTGCATTATCGGGCTCCTTGGCTAAACCTATCTGGTACAAAACATCAGTTCTAAAGTATTCGTCATAATAATCTGGTTCAACATTCACCGTCACTGGCGACACAAATTGTTGCAGTGTTTCATGATCAAGGGCCTCATCCCTCAATTCTGCTTGCATCCTTGAAGCTTCCTCCACCACAGAGTTCCACAATTTCACCTCCTCCTCGGTTGTGAACTCCTCATGATTGAACAACGAAATACCATACATCTTTTCAGGATCAACAATGGCATTCTTGATCGAACTTGTTGGGCTCACTTTGTCACCACCATCGCCATTTACGCCTTCATTTGAGGTCCTTTTCACAACCCCATTAGAATCAGTCACAGAAAATATGTCAGCTTCGGAAACATCATCAGATTTTGAATTGGGCTGTTCCTTTTTCTCAGTCACAGTCAAAATCTCGGTGATAACAGGCAAAGGTATAGCTGCAACGGCAGCATTATTATTCATCGAGTACACTGTGAAATTTGCTAGCAAGACCATCACATAGACCATGAGAGTCGGTGATTTCGAGAAAACCTGTTGAAACAACCACACAAATGACATGTTCATTTCTCTCTTCTGCACCTTAGCTACGATCTCTTGCAAGTCTTCAGAGTAAAGACTTTCCCTTATACTTAAAGCGCCGCTATGAAGCTCGCGTACGATGAACACCATGGAAGAGAATGCTTTGCTCAAAGAGCAAGAAGTAAACTCCCCTGCGTCTCCTCTGGGGCTCTCTTCCCATTGGCGATGCTTCTTCTTTATTAACCTAAGGGACATAGGAAACTCAAGGCTGTTGGCCTTTCTTTCAATGGTGGCTCTAACAATTTCATTTCTTTCTGGCCAGTCTGGTGGCTCCGGATGAATACCAAGAAGAGAAGGTTCTAAAGCACTGAGCTTCAAGCTCGAAGATTGCACTGAAAAACCATTGGATTTGCTGTTTTCACCTTCTGGGTACATGGAAACCGGAGACGTTTTCGAGATTTTCGATACAACCAAAGGTGGTTCCTCTTCACTTTCCTCATCATCTTCTTCAGAAAGGTTGAAATTTTGTGCCAAATCTTCAATCTGCTTCGATAATTCTTCGTATGAGAAATCATCAAAATTGGCTCTACAACGTTGCTTCGAGTGACGACCTTTCAAACTAGTCGACCCAGAAGAGACCAAACGATGAACGAACCCATAAGCCAAAGCTCCACTGCTTCCACTCGGTTTTGTCAGCGAATGAAAAGAAATTGAATGCGATGGTTTCGAAGATGAAGAAGAAAGTGGATGCGGTACCGAAACCTGAAGTATGCTTTCCAAACTCTTAGAACAATGAACGACCCCGGATCCCATATCTAATAATCAACCCTAAAAAAGCTACACGATGAGAAACAGAGAAAACCCAAAAACAGAGGCACAGATGCAGCAACTGATAATTGAAGAAAAGAAAGAGTATAGTGGAGAAAAAGCGGTCACACACTAGTCCCAAGAATCCCGTGCGCCAAAAAAGTCTAAAAGGGTGTCATATCATATTCATACAAGGACTGCAAATTTTATGGATTTTGGATGCAGCAAAAGTCTAACTGGGTTCTGGAAGTCCCTTTCAATCCAACCTGAAATTGGTAAAAAAGGCAAACACGTTTAATCAGTCAAAAATTCATAATCTCCAATCCATACATATAAATAAATATATATATGACAATATCTCACCCAACCCACCGCCTCAAATCATTGAAAAACAAAACCCTTTTTTTCTAAAAAGAGAGGAGAGTGATTAGAGAAAAAACAAGTGTGAAATCATGAAATGATGATGACCATGGTGGCTTGAAAGGGTTCCCACCATCACCATTTTACGTGACAAAGTCCTTTACCATGGAGGAGAGAATATTCAGCTGAAATTTGGAGTTTCTCTTTCTCCGAAAATTGAGAGAGAGACCCGAATTTGAAAACTGTAATGAGACAGAGCAAAAAGATACAACACAAGTTAAGAATAAGAACCTTTCAGGGTCTTTGCTTGTTTGTTGGCCGCAGAAAGGTAGAAATTTTCGGTTTGGTATTTTCAGGTGAGAGACTTGCACCACACGTGGAGAAATGCTACTGGTACACTGCGACGATTGGCATTTCTACCGCTAATTTTAGTTCTTTCCGTGTATGAATTCGCCTTCCTACTTGACCCAATTGGACCGTCTGTCCAATTTGTATTTAATCAGCCAGAAAATCAATTTCTCTTTCGCTCGGTAAATAAAATCAGATTTTGTTCGCAACGAATAAGGTTTCTGAAAACGTGGGACTACGTCGTTCTAGTACCGAGTCACATGCGAACTACGATAACTAAGAGCCGCCTTTTTCTCCTATCTTATTGAATGTCGACACTTGGCCAAATACTACAGACTCGCTCACACACCTGTCGTCACTTTCTATCGACACGTGTAACTGTGCAGGTGGGATGTTGTTGAGGAAATCCCTCTCTCTCTCTCTCTTCCCATTAGTGTAGAAAGTTCCTTTCTCTTTTTTGGGGATACACCTGAGTTACGAAGTTTGAAACTAAAATTCGATGGTACCATAATAAATAGGTTCGCATTAATAATTTTGGACCCGAGATCATTGAGGGCCCAATTCACAAACAAATCACAAACAAAGGTGAGATTGAAGCCTGAACCCAAAACCATGTGAAGCTAAAATAGCCCAACACAGCACATTGGCAGGCTTCATTTGCGGGAGACTCATGCGCCACTAACAAAACAGTGATATTCTCATTTCGCATAAGTGCTTATCGGATATCAGGCATGGAACTTGCATATGAGCACTCAAGTTTCCCCGGAACCAGTTCCTCTCTAGAAGCATTCCTTTCTTCACAATCATACCACAAGTTGAACAATGACAATGAGAACCAATCAAGTCCAGTTATGTAGCATAAGAAGAGAGAAGAATCATGTGCTGCTGTTCCAATTCTGGGCTTTATTACATTCTCCTTGGATAAATAACAAATTAAATATTTTATAAGAATCGTAATATTTTACAGGATTTAATCATACATGAAGACCTACAACATATAACAAAAATCCACCGGGGAAACATTCAAAATATTAAGTACAAAAATTTCTCTCTTAATTATAAGTCTCCGTTACACACAATTTAAGAAGAGGAGAAGGAGACCCAGTCAACCACCTAACCCAACCAGTCAACGCGCCAAACAGTACTCACTGCTTCCTCCGACTCCGTCCGACTCCTCCTCCATGTTCGTGATTCAAACTGTCGCCCAAAAACGTCTTTGCCGCGTCCAAACTCGGAAAATAAGTCGGTTCCAAGAATATCTGACTTAGTGAGTCACATATCTCCGTACTCACCACGACTCGGTTCCCCTTCGCTTCCAAGCTACCCATCAAAACCACCAGCACCTGTTTGTACGCGTAGTAGAACCGCTTCAGCGCCGACTCAATCGCCTGAAGCGCCTGCAGCACGTGGATCTTCTCCGAGTCCGAATCCGATCCGATCTTCTTCTCTGAATACAACCTCATCGCCGCCTCCTGAATCCTGGGCCCACCCTTGGGGTCCACCTCAACATCCAAGATGTACGGCACCCTGTGCCTCAACTCCTTACAAAGCTTCGTCACGTCCACCAGGCCCTTCGATCTGAAGCAAAACGACTCCGTCTCGTCCACCGTCTTGATGCTGAGCTGGTTCTTCAGCCTCAGAAAATCGTCCGGGTCCATCAGAAGGTGGAGATCTTCGATCTCTGCCAGAAGCTTCCATATCCGTTCGATCAGGTAACAGTCACTGGCGGCTTTTTCGAAGTCCCTCGCCTCGATTCGGCTCGTGACGCGCTTGAGAAGCTCCTGGCAGACGAACACCCACGACTCGAGGACCTGGTGCGTGGTGTACACCGTCTGGTTCTCGTAGTTGTCGATGTGATCGTACGGGCTCTTCTTCAGCGAATGCAGCTCGCTCGGCCTGCAAACGGCGTCGTAATCCAGGTCCGGCTTCCCGGCTAGGTTCGGCTCTCCCAAACCTAGCGTGTACGGACAGCTCCTCATCTCGCATTCGATCGAGTACAAGATCTTCTGCGCCATGCCTTCGGATTTGTGCCACGTGGCGAGCCGCGGAAGCAAGCTGGCCTCGCTGGTGCGGCTCACCACCGTCGTCTCACCCGAACTCCACACCTCGGCTGAGCTCCCGTTCCGAGCGAGCTCGCCGTACGACGTGCTCAGATCGACGATGGGAGCGGCTCCACGTGTCTCGCTGTCTTCTTCGTCGTCCTCGATCAGCATCGCAATGAGTTGTATCTGGCTGGTGGTGAGCGACTCGAGGCGGCGCTTCCACTCGCGCCGGTTCGAGTACGGTCTCGGGTCGGACAAAACGGTGGAGATGAACCGGAACGAAATTTCGAGAGCTTGCAAGGCCGGTTTTAGAACCGACTCGTTTCTCCAGCACGGGAAGTCGTTGGAATTCCAGAGGTTTCGGAGCTCCGGGAGGCGAAGGTAGTGCTCGTAAGTGGAGCAAGCCATTTCGGAAGCCTCCGAAATATCAGTTTGGACTTGTGCGGCGCGAAACGAACCGGGTATCGAAACGTGGAGCTTGTTGGAGAGCTTTGGGGATTTACTGGGCATGTCAGAGGAGACCATCTTGGCTTTCCAATCTAAATCAACCATGTTGTTAGCAGAGAAATGAAATGATGAATGAATTTGAATAAGGGCTGTTATCCTTCTGAATTGGATTTTGTTTATATTTTGAACAAAGGAAGAGAGAGGGGTATTTATAGGGCAAACGGAAATTTCAAACAGAAGAAAAGGCGTGTGGAATATGGGCATGAAGAACGAGGAATTTGAAAGTCGTGGTTTTGAAAAAAATCAAAAATTTTAAATTTTAAAAAAACGTTATTTTTCCTTTCTTTTCATTTTTATATAATAGAAATTTATGGACACACAAAGCTTATCCATATCACCTAACGACTAGCCTGTTATCAATACGGCGTGTCGTATGTGTACTGTACTTAGCTTCGTAAGTAGGAAACTGCCTTTGTTTGAAATGGAATCTAAAATAGTAGAGCCATTGAAGGTTGACCATGGTCAACCAAGCACATCCATCTACTACCCACTACATCTTCTACACCGCCTTCCATTCCATCTGACTTTTCTTTTTCTTTTTAACTTTTTTCCTTTTTTTCCATGGAAATAAAACGTTAAAGCCAGCTTCCTAATTATATAGAGGGATAGATAATCCCTTACTCATCTATCAATGATTGTAATTACATTCTTAATTCACGGCGACATTTATCTTCTTTTTTCCTCTGATTGATACTTTGGATGTGTATCCTAAAAAGCTGGCACAATTTGGATATGTCTTGCAATTAAATATCATTTAAACAGCTCACACGGATTTATCAACCGGTAAATTAAAATAGAATTTTCATGAATTGTAGGGATGACGACAATAAAATTACCGTATAGTTTGATGTTGCACGATAGAATTTTACTTTGTCAAGGGAGGAGAGAAGAAGTTTCTCATAATCTTATAATTTTTCTACTAAACCTTTTCGATAAGACCATGCATCTATATATACATAAAGTAAAAGATATAAAATAGTAAAGCATTCAAAATACCCGAAAAATCCTAAGTATTTATTATAATTTGAGCGGTCAATAGTTGTTGTGGTTGATTTTTAATGAAAAATTATTGGAGTGCTTGCCTAGGATGCTTCTTGGGTTTTCCACGTTTTGTCCCTTGTCAAATCCGTTCTTATTCATTTCTATAATTTTGTGTTTCTTTATTTAAAGAAGCTAACGGTTTGTGCATAATTCTCAATCGGTCAAAATCTAAAGAAGGTGACATGAGTTATGAAGCATGCCGTTGTCGGTAAACTAGGGATTATAATTAGGAGACTCAAAAATCTGTCCATGCATTTAGGGCAGGAAAACGACCGAGACATGGCCTTTTAGTACACGGAAGATACAAAAATACAATTAATTTTATACGATTATCCATTACGGGAAACAATACTCAACTCATAATCAGCTCCTCAGATTTGATTGAAGCCAAACTAGCTACTCTCAAACAGAAAAAAAACAAGTAAATGCCAACTGGGTATTGGTATTTGGATAGGATTGTACAGCTTGCAAATGTTTTAATTGGCTTTTCATCTTGTGTTTGAGCCAGCGAAGGCTCATTGATATTGGCTATACAATGATAAAATAAGGCAACTTGATTGGGTTTTTAGGTTTGTTTTTATAATTACTTGCTGCTCAAGTCCAAAAAGCCACGATTCTCTTTCCAAGTCTACGAGGGCAAACGAATACCTGATTTTTGAATGTATTGTTTGTTGGGGTGCTAATTATGTTTTTGAGGAATAAATTGAAGAAGTTTGTTGCTATTTCAATCGAATATCGTAGAGGATAATCAGAACATATACTCTTTAGAAATAAATAATTATAACGATCGTATGTATACTCTTTGGAGGAATGTTTTTGTTTTTTTAGGGAAATTTTGTTCTTGGCATAAGATCAGTGGGTCTCTATGTGCAGTTATGCTGATATGTGTAAAGGATGTGAATCCCCTCCTTTGTGGCCATATTGGTGTTGTCTTTGGTCCCTTTGCGGTGACGTAACTCGGTTTTGTATTTTGTTTTGATTTTGTGTGGGGAAGATTTGTTGTACTAGATTGTACTAGTTTTTAGTCTAATATTTCGTGTGCATATGGTACTTTGTTTTTGCATTTGGCAGTTTCGGCCCTTATATTCTCTATTTGTTTCCTTTAAGTTAGTATTTATTAAAAAATAAAAGTTTCAACACACAATTCAAATGCGAGTCAAAGTTAAATCGAGAGACGAAAATGAGTATAGTCAAAGTGAAAGCCGTAAATGTGGAGCAACGCAAGCCCCAACCTCCATAGGGTTTGGACAAAGAGCATTGGTTCTTAATGTGTTTTGTTTCACTGGGCCATACTATATATATATATATTCAAAAGGGTTGGAATGTTATTTACGAGAAAGGTGATTTTTCGGAGCTTTATCTTTTAGCGTAGCATTCAAAACCAAATTGTTATTATATGCTTGATCTTTACAATAAAAATTGTTATTTCATAGGTTGTTGCCTTCCAAGATTTGCACAAAAGCAGCAAAATGGGGGCGGACTTTTACATTTGCATTTACATTAGATATCCATATGACAAACAAACAGACAGACAGACAGAGACAATAACAACAATAATTTAATTGAACCAAAACCAAGTGGCCATTTCATCGTTCCATTCAATTCAAATTATGGGCACTGCATCGTTCCGTTGGCTTTGGATAAGAAGAACCCTCTTCTTTTTAACTTTTTGAGTCCTTGTCACCCACTCACTCGCTTTCTTTACAAACGACGTCGTTGGCGTCGGCCATATCCGAACCCCAACCCAACAGAAGACTCGTTTGTTTTTTGTTGTTGTTGGAGGAGGATTGGACTCAATCCCCTCCCGCGTTTACCGCCACAAATATCCGCCAATCCCACCGCCTTTGACTTCCACACGTGTCTTCCCTCCATTGGCCAAGAGACTCGATCTAAGTGCCCTCCTACTCGGCGTCCCTTTTCTGGCCAACGAACCACGCAGGGTAGTACCATGTGACATGCCCCCACCTCCCGACACGTGGAGTGCGCATCACGTGCGCCACCAACTTCACATGTCCCCGGTTACACGTGGGGTCATCACTGTTCCCCGGCGGTGCCTAACAAGCCACCACGATGCTGCCATTTTTCACGTACCCTGTTACAGTTTGTGAGTTGGAGACAGTTGGGATGGTAACGGTTAGTTGGCTTTGCCGTAAATTATCGTGCAGGTGTATGGTAGTATGGATATATTCGTATGCCGACTCATCAGAGCAAAAGCAATCCAAATAAAAAAGTTTGGTGCTTTATTTTATTTTATTTTGTTTCTTTTTGAGAAAGTAAAATTGGGTACTTTTGTTTTGCACTCAACTTATTTCAAAATCGTTTTTAATGAGGAAAATAGGTAGATGGCGATGAACAAAAATACAACTTCCTTCGAAGGATTTTATTAAACTTGACTGGGGGAGAAAGGCGTCTGTTGCTTTATTTGACTTTGGAGAAAAGTCAATTGTGGGCTAGGAGTGGTTTCCTAGCAAGGAAGCATGTTTTCAGGCAGAAAGTGGGGCATTATTGGCGATCATGCACCGGATGCCATGGATTGGCCCCAACTTGTTCTCACCTTTTCTTCCACGATTTTATCCACTCGTTTGATAGGATTGAATCGGTATCTTTTCAGATATATGCTATTGAGTCTATGTCCTCATTTGCATATTGATGACTGTTAATTCTTAATACAAATGAGTATTACAAAATATAGATAGTTATCAATCACTCATAAACGACTATTAATTTTTAATACAAACGAGTATTACAAAATATGGACGGTTATCAACTACTCATAAATGACTGTCAATCAACTCTATTCTAGTGTTTTTGTGCAGATCTTTTAACAAGTGATTAGATTACCAAACGTAAAGGGAAATATAAGATGAGGTCCACCAGTTTGGCCAAAGTCCGCGTTTTGTGACTTGAATTCTACCAATACAATTATATGGTTAGCACCGTTAGAAAACAACTCAAAAAGAAGAACGGACCACCATTCAATTACGTGCCATTTTTCTAGCCATTTTGATCATCGGGATGAGAAGAATACATACGACATCATTATCTGAAATTGATGGCTGAAAACCAATCAAAGCATCTCCCGCCCCCCCATTACAAAACAAAAATGTCTGCTTGTTCTGTTCTTGCCGTGTTTGGATAATATTACCCGGGAATAATAATTTATTCCAAACCCTAGTCACAAACCATTTCATTTTCCTCTCCAGGTGCTTCTCTTATCCATCAATCATCACAGATAGTGCACTGCACAAGAAGCAACCACAAAAAAAATCCCCGAAAAATAAAAACAAGAGAACAACATTATAATTTGTACACCGTACGTGCACTACTCAAACTCATCTTAGATTAGAGAAATGGGAGACCGACGTAATCAATCACTCAAATCCGAGATTAAGAAAACACACATGATTTTGTTAAGAATGAGATTTGTTGCCTCAACATAATTTCGTCGGCCATTCTTGCGTCATGACCCATGACTTGTGAACAAACCCTAATTAGACATGCGCATCAGTAGTTATGGGAGATAACTTGAAGAAACCAAAACGTACGTACCTACCCCACCACAAGTTTGAAATGTTTATAAAATATTAGCATTAATTAAGGTTAATGGCGCTTTTAATACAATCAGAAACAGTCATGCAGACGAATAAAAACATTAAATTAAAAACAAAGACCAGCGTGCCTCCCCTGTTTATAGTTTGATGTTTTAGTGGATAGACATTACGTGCGACGACTCAAAGGCTTGCCACCGTCTTGCCTCTCTTTCGCAAGTCAAAAGGACATAAAAATACTCCAGAAATCTTGTTAAGTCCGGGCCCAAGGGAACCAGGGGGACCAAATCGTGGGAAATATTGAGGCAATGAAAGGAGCAGCTTAACCCACTTTATGAGTTTTTATCAGATTATGTTTGTTTCGAATGTGAAATGATATGTTTGTGTTGTGTTTTTATTTGCTAAGGACAACATGGGATGCATGAGCTTGGTTTTACTTATAGAGCCACTATGGATATAAAATAAGAGCACGCTGTTTCGAACCATTTTGTGGTCAACATGTTTCAGAGTATGCTCATAAACATGTGGATTTTATTTATTTATGAGAAGCAATAAATTTTTATTGAGAATAAGAACAGGTATAAAAAAATATAACTAAGGTCAAGAGCATTAG